CAGCACCACATGCCAGCCAGCCCCGCCCTCTGGTGGGCTGAGCTGGCCACACACACACACACACACACACACACACACACTAAATAAATGTTAAAAAAAAAAAATAAAGTTAAAAAAAAAAAGACATAAGGGAAAATAGGATTATAGGTCTTAAAACAATTTCAGCTACTAAAATCCATCCTATGTCTCCTTTTTCTCCTAGGAAGCCACAGCTTCTCCAGGGAGTCTATGCCATGGGCTTTAATCGACCGTCCAAGATTCAAGAAAACGCATTACCCATGATGCTCGCTGAACCGTGAGTGAAGACCCAAGTGATCTCTTTCAAAGTTGCTTTACTAATGTCACCATGAACAGCCGTTATTGTTTCTGAGTACTGCATGGGCTGTTTGGCGGATGTGTTTCAGGAAAATAGGTTGGCAGTTGCAGGGAGAATCATGGATTTGGGCACATTTCTAATCTTTCCCACTTAAAAACTGATAATTATAGTGCTTTATTTTATATAGTATTAAAAATTGACTCTTTAGAAATGATTTGAAGTTGGGCCTGGTAGTACACTTCCATAATATCAGCCCTGTTGAGGGCTCAGGCAGGAGGGTCACAAGTCTGAGCCCAGCCTGGGCAACTTAGAAAGATCCTGCCTCAGTGGAAGGGTTGGGTTGTTGAAGCACTAAAACTGAGTGACCTGTTTCCCCCTGGACTCCGTGCTGCGATCAGTAATTCGGACCTCCTCAGTTGCTGCTGGCCCTCAGTTTGAACATGGACCTGACTGGCATCGGCTTACTTGTCTGAGCCCTGACCTCTCCAGCTACCTCAGCTAGAGTCCTAGAACTGAATGGCCCAGATCTCTGATCTTTTTTTTTTTTTTTTTTTATTTTTATTTTTTGTGGGGCTGGGGCTCAAACTTGGGACCTTGTGCATGCCAGGCAGGCATTTATGCCACTGAGCTATATGTCCCTGGCCCCTTTTATTTTTATTTTAAATGTATTTGGTACAGGGTCTCACTACGCAGCTAGGATTCTGTAGTGATCCTCCTTTTTTCAGCCTCCCCAGCACTGGGATTACATGTGTGCACCGCCATACCCGGTCTCAGTGGCTGGCTTAGCGCACCTGGGGGCAGGGCTGGCACTGCATGTGGTGCTAGGGATTGAGCAGGCTGCTAGTCTTGCTGGCCCCAGACCTCTGATCTTTTTTTTTTTTTTTGGCTGCTCAGGATGCCTTCAGGGCAGGTCTGGTTTGGCTTGAGGATAAGGGGATCGAACCACAGCATCCTGAGCCTGACTGCTTTGTTTCAGTAGGCACTTAAACACCTGAGCTGATGGGCACGTCCCCTAGACCTCTGATCTTGACCCCTGATATCTGACACCTGATACACTCCTGGGTGCTCCAAAATGAGGCAGGCAGCCTTCTAGCCAGGGCCTAAGAGCCAGAGCCAGAAGCATGTGGCTCAGCGAAAAGGGCTGCTGACTGAGCCCTTGGGTCTGCTCTGCCTTGTGCTGTTGTGCTCCACTTTTTTTTTTTTTTTTTTTTTTGGTCCTTCAGAGAAACCATAATTCTACTATTTTTGGGCTAGGGCAATAGCTCTGCCAAAAAAGCAAAAACAAAACAAAAATGCTATTTTTTATTTTAAAAATAATATAAAAAGGCTGGGGACCAGTGTGGTGGCACACCCCTATAATCCCAGCACTTGGGAAGCAGAAGGCTCACCAGTTGGAGGCCAGCCTAAATTGTATAGAGAACCTGTGAACTGGGGGTGGGTTTACAGCTTAGTGCAGAGGCCTGGTTCAAGCCTTAGCCACCAGAGAAAATTATTTCGGGGGCCGGGGAGATGGCTCAGTAGAATAAGTGCTTCCCTGGCAAGCGTAAGGGTCTGAGTTAAATCCCCAGTTCCACCAAA